AGTCTCTGTCTTCATATAGAGTCTCTGTCTTCATATACAGTCTCTGTCTTTATATAGAGTCTCTGTCTCTATATAGAGCTCTGTCTCTGTCTCTATATAGAGTCTCTGTCTCTATATACAGTCTCTGTCTCTATATACAGTCTCTGTCTGAAGTTTCATTAAGTCTTATTTCATTAAAACAATCAGTATAATCAGGATCAGCTTCACCACTGAGCAGATTTATCTACGCCCTCTCGGGGGTGCGGTCGGTGTACGAGCGGTTGTTGTCGTATAATCTTTGCGTTACACGCAGACATCACTGCGCTTTATCACGCCCAGAAAGTTCTCTGATCTCTCAAATCTCAGTTGGGATTAGCCCGTAATCCAAAGACTCCCGTCCATTTGAAGATGTCAAGTGGACGCTCGTCATTAATCTGGGTCACAGCCGGAGTCATCAGTCACATTACCCAGCAGTCACCAGGGCTCGTTTGCTCTCTTCAGCTTCACGTCAGCTGACTCATGGTCACACGGTCACATGACGACCACGGATCTTTTTTGTGATCAAAGTCTTTTAAATTTTAAATTTCTGCTCATTTCCAGAAAAATATCTGGATTCATGAGAATCAGTTTAAATCTTTTCACTAAAAAAGTTGTTTGGATTTAAAACATCGTCAGAACAGGATGAAGAAGATTCTCGATCATCGATGGACGTTTGAAAACGTTCACGATGATGAAACAAGGATTAAGATGTTTGTTGATTTGTAAACAGCTGATAATAAAATAAATAGAAATAAAAGATTCAGATGCTAAAACCATGTTTTATTTTCACACTGGTTTGTTGTCTGTGTTATTATGTTTCACCTTTTTATTATTTCACTATATTTGCTGTGTGTGAATGAACTGACAAACGATTCAAAAATCACATTGTCAAAGAGAAGACGATGTTTTATTCCTCATGTATAACTCGTCTATGAACCTGAGGAGTAAACGAGCCTCTGAGTTCACTGGTTTGTAATCTGCTGCTTTCTGTGTTTTACAGTTGATTTAAATATTATTATCATAATTGAACATTTGAGCATCTCAGCTCGGACTGAAACACGTTTGTGTTTCTCTGCTGAGGTGCGGAGTGAGGTCACTTCCTCTCTCGACACAGACTGCAGGGATTTTTTGGTTCTTATGATTTTTTAGGGTCGTACCAAAAGGGGGAGAGGGGGGGTGGGTGGGTGAGAACGTACGGTCGAGCACATGTGGACCTCTTCACAGACCGTGCACACAGACAGCTAAAGCTAATATCCCACACAGAGCTAATTGTTTAAGTTTCATGCACTGATGGTTCAACTGCAGCATTTGATCATTGAACGTGCACCAGTGAATCCCCCCCCCCCCGGATGGTGAGTGCTGCAAACTGCCAAGACCCTCAGAATAAATAGAGCCAGAATCCCCTCAAAGAGAGAGGAGCGTTCTAAAAATAGATCT